AGTTTTCGAAAAAGAAGCCAACTTGCCAGCCGTGTTGCTAACAACTCTGGCAAGAAGTCTGTATGTTACCTTCCTTTCTCCCAGTGTGAATAAGCTAATAAGTGACTGCTCATTCTTTAGTTTTATTTTAGTGTTAGAACCTAACAGACTTGGATGTCATTGAAGTTGTTATACGTTTATCTACAATTGTAGTTTAAAAAATGAACAACCAAAGACCATTATGCTTTTGTTACTTGTACTGTTCTTGATGACTGATAAAACAGATAACTTATTTGATGACTCAATTATAACTAATAGCATAGCTCCAATATTTACACTGTTTCTCAGAATCAGGTCAGTGTCTTCTTGGTTCATTGATGCTTAGGAAGATAGTAAAACATCCTTCCTTCAATTTCATTTTAATGACTGACTGGAATGTAGGAGGTACTGATATTACAGAATGCTACGTGTGAAAGACATTTGGTTATCATTCAATCTCAGCACTGATTTTCTTTTACTTTCCTTTATTTGTATCTTTCTTGTTAATAACTTTGACTTATAAGAGTTAGTTTATTCTTAGAGTGTTTTTAGTTATTCCTGTGAATTTACCTTTTTAATAAGAATGTAGCATTTTTATAAGAAAATTTTAAATGAATATTAATTAATCAGATCTTCTATTTTATCTTTCTTCTGTTTAAACATAGTTGTATCTGTCTGGGTCCAGTCAGGAGATAGAAACCACACAGTGGGTTAAACAGGGTAAGTTTTATATAAGAAACTATTAAACTCTGATAAAAGGATGACTCTAAGATACAAGAAAACTGTGTACTGGGAGTGCCAAAAATATGTATACACATTTTAAGGACCATTAAGAGATGTTTGCCATAATCAGAAGTGTCTGGATGTTGATGGTTATCACTTTGAGCACCTCTTGTAATTACAGAAGACAAATGTGACATATTCATCTTATTGAGTATTACAATTTTAATACAGTGTGTTCCTTTCTTAAAATGTGTATGCATTTTTTTGGCACCCTCTGTATGGTACCCTAGGGCTGGGGAACAAAGCCAAGCTTGTCAGGAGCCCCTTCCTGCAAGCATGGGGTTCATATCTCATTGAAGAAAGTATATTCAGCTCACTCACTCAGTAGAAAAGTTCACTGTTTTGCCAGGTCAGAGTTGGTCTGTAGTGCTTGGGCAGTCAGGACAATCTGGAGTGCAGGTGATCAGTGACAGTTGGTATGGGTATGCAGATGCAGCAGTGACCGTGTCGGAAACCACAGACAAGCAGCCCACACGGGCCCCCAGAGGAACTGAGGTGGTGATAAGGGCAACAATGGCCTTTGGTTTGCCTGTGCAGCCAGGGAGGCCTTCTGTGTGGGTTGAGAGGGCAGGTCACCACCGGGCCGAAGCTATAAGGCTACTGAGAGATTGTGCATCTGGGCGTGTAGCTGCAGTGAGCACCCTATCCCCATGCACTGCTCTCCCACACAGCAGTTGAAATTGCTGAAGGGCTCTTTGTCCTGCAGTCTCTCTTCAGCACTCTCTGCAGAGAAATCTTAATGCGGTTGACAAAGGAGAGATGCTTAAAGGGTTTGTGTCCATATGGTAACGCATATATTGAGGGGTGAGTTTGGGGCTGAGAGTCATTAAGTTGATAGCTATGCAATAATTTTTCTTTTTCCAGTTACTTTTATGAAAAGTTCCCTGTGTAGTGTTCTATTATATTCTTTCTTGGACTGGAGCACGTGTTAAGCTTGCATCATGCTAGTGCTTGGCATTGAATAATGAGGCAGTGAGTCAATTTTAAGTGTGTGTGAAGCATCATTGTATTTGGCTGTCACATTCTTACTTGACACTTGAAGGTAGAAAGATACTTTTTTAAAGCATTGAAGGAATAATTTCTTCATAGTTGAAAGGACAATGTCCAAGTTGCTACTCTTGGCATTATTGCAAAGTTTTGTGGCGGCCACTGTTGAAACAGTTGTAGACTTTGAATTAGAAGACCGAGATTCTGGTCTTGGTTCTTTTTTTTTTTTCCCCAGAGTCTCACTCTATGTCCCAGGCTGGAGTACAGTGGCACACTCACAGCCACCACAGCCTCGACCTGCTGGGCTTAGGTGATCCTTCCACCTCAGCCTTCTAAGCAGCTGGAAGCACAGGTGTGTGCCACCAAGCCCAGCTAATTTTTTGACTTATTGTCGAGATGAGGTCTCACCATGTTTCCCAGACTGGTCTCGAACCCGTGGGCTCAGGTAGTCCTCTCACTTCCGCCTTGTTCTTGGTTCTTAACTAAACATGTGACAATCTGGGCCTCAGAGATCATCTGTGAATCGTACTGGGTTCAAAATTCCCTACCCCACAGATTGGAATTGATAAGGGTAGGTAAGGCCTAAAGTCTGTCACAGTTTTCTAGGACAAGTATAGGAAGAAGCAACTAAATTTTTAAAAATATGGTTATGATGGTTTAAGCAGAATGGGGAGATAGTAGATAGTACTGAGACAAGTCTAGTAGTAGAGGATGTGCTTTTAATAGCAAGCTGAACTAAAATTCTGGGTCTACTTACCTGCTTTACAGAGATTTGATTTTGATGAAAAATTCTGAGTATAATAACTTTTTTATTATAAGGTAGAATTATGATTGGGTTAAAAAGGACTTGCATAAAAAATAGTGTACAGAATGAGAGGAAATATTTGTAAATCACATCAAGGAATTATATCCAGATACTTAAAGAACTCTTACGACTCAACAGTAAAAAGACAACCCAGTTTTAAATTTGATAGACATTTGTCCAAAGAAGATGTACAAATGGCCAGTAAGCACATGAGATGTTCAGCATAATGAGTCATTAGGGGAATGCAAATCAAAACCATGGTGGGATACCACTCCATGCCTGCTAGAATGATTGTAATTAAAGAGACCAACAGTAGCAGCTGTCGGCAAGGATGTGGACAAATTGGAACCCTGCACAATGCTGGTGGAAATGGAAAGTAGTATAGTCGCTTTGGAAAACAGTTGGGCAGTTTCTCACAGCATAGTTACCAAATATCAGTTAAACAGTTACAGTTACCTTATGACCCTGCAATTCCACTCCTAGGTATATATCCCAACAGAATTGAAACATATCCACACAAAAATCTGTACACAATGTTCAGAGTAGCATTGTTCCTAATAGTCAAAAAGTAGAAACAGCTTAAATGTCTGTCAGCTTATGGGTAACCAAAATCTGATAACTCCATGTGACGGAATGTTATTCAGCCATAAAAACAAATGAAGTTCTAATATATACTACAAGGTGAATGAACCTTGAAATTATTGTGCCAAATGAAAAAAAATGCAAAGGATGACCTATTGTATGATTCTATTTATATGAAATGTCCAGAATCAGCAAACCATAGCAATAGAAAGTACGTTAGTGATTTCCAAGGCATAAGGAAGGGGTGAATGGGAGTGATGGATAGTAGTTACAGGTTTCTCTTTGGGATGATGAAAATGTTTTGAACTCTGAATATACTAAAAACCACTGAATTGTATACTTTAAAAGGGCATATTTTATAATATGCAAATTATGTCACAATAAAGTTGGGTTTTTTAATTGAACCTGAAAAATTTAAAACGGAGTCTAATGAGTCTAAGATGAAGCTGCAATGAACAGTTCATAAATGTCAGTTCCATATTTCTTTCAAAGTCTTTCCTATAATTTTGTCTTTTTGGTGTTTAATGTTTACTTTACTCAATGTTTTGAATTTGTTCCGGTTGATGTTTTAGGTTACTTGAAGCTGTACTTTATAGTTTATTTTTGTTGTTGTTTTTTGTTGGTTTGTTTTTGTTTTTGTTTGGGTTTTTTTGAGTTGGGAGTCTCACTCTGTCGCCCAGACTGGAGTGCAGTGGCTGCTCCCAGCCACTGCAGCCTCGACCTGCTGGGCTCCGGTGAGCCTTCCACCTCAACCTTCCGAGTAGCCGGAATTACAGGCGCGTGCTACCACGCCTGGCTAATTTTTTGATTTATTGTAGAGATGCGGTCTCGCCTGCCCAGGCGGGTCTCGAACCCGCGGGCTTAAGCAATCCACTCATCTCAGCCTCCCAAATGCGCAGGATTACAGGCTGAGCCACCGAGCCCGGCTTATAGTTTAGCAGTAGGGATAGGACCAGGAGAGTTAAGACATCTGTTCCCTACCTGGTGTTTCTTGTCTTAGTAATACAATTAGCCATATATCTGTTTAGGGTTGTTCTTATGAGAAGAAATGCCTATGTGAATATCTAGAAAGAGGAAGCAATAATATAGAAAAAATAATTTTATATCTTAATTTATGGTTAGTTATGGAAAGATAAGTTTCAGAAAAAATAATATGAGGAGGAACCTAAAAAACCCAGAATTTATTTATAAAAACTTGTGTTCTTACATTTTTAAACTTCAGTAATCTTCCAAGTACTCTCCATTTGATGTAATATACCTATTAAGATGCTTTTCCACTGCTCAGAATAGTTTTGAACATGTTAATTTTGATGCCTTTTAGTGTTTCTAACATTTTTTGTTTCACCTTTTCCGCATTGGCAAAATATTTCCCTTTAAGGACTTGTTTCATTTGAGGAAACAAAAAAAAGTTGCTTGGGGTGAGATCAGCTGAGTAGAGATGGTGGGACACAGGGGTCATGTCATCTTTTGGTGAAAAAATGCTGACCACTCAGCACATTGTGGGCAAGTCTATTCATGAATCACCCATCATGAAATGCGCAAACGCGCTGAAATAATAGCCAAAAAAAAAAAATTCACTGAAGCCAAATGAAGCCTCTCACAACAATGCTAGCTGGTTCCTAGAACACTTACCTTGTGTGAGGAGCTTGTACTGCAAAGGGCCTGCCCTCCAAAAGATAATTCTGGTTTTATGGGGACCCTCCTTTGTATATAAATATTGTCCTTTCAGAAACATCTTGGAGGATGTTTAAAACTTCATCTCTTAATGTCAGATGTTCCATTATAGTATTGTTCATTTTTAATAACATAATTTTTATTATTACAGACAGATTTGACCAGTTTTGGGCCATCAATCGGAAACTCATGGAATATCCTGCAGAAGAAAATGGATTTCGTTATATTCCCTTTAGAATATATCAGGTAGGAAATAACATTTTTAAAAACATCCATTTGTGAAAGCTTCAGGCATCTTACTTCTTGAAACACTCTAATCCAAAATGCTTAAGTTTGCATAGTTACTGAATAGCATTTATTAGGGTTTTCAGGTTTGTATCTTTCAGTGGTAAACAAGTCAGAGACTGAATTGAAATATTTGACTCATATAGAGATGATAGTCATTATTTGTAGATTTCATGTTGGCAGATTAACCTGCTTGCTACAATTTATTTGTAGCCCAAAGTTGATACCATCAGAGTGGTTATTCACTTTTCACCAGCTGAGATTGAGCAACATGACGCTTTGCCTTCTTATTTCAGCGATCATTCTGTAAACAAGAGGTCTTTTCACAGTCTTTTAGTGCCAGGTTTTTCACATTCTTGTGCTTTTTGTTGGAGATTTTGCTGTTTAAAATGGTTCGCAAATGTAGTGCTGAAGTGCTTTTTCAAACAGAAGCATATAAAACGAGGTCATGTATTGATCAGTTGATGAACACATTGTGACCAAGGCTCATGGTAACATAACGCTCTACTTGCCCTAGGAGCAGTGGTTCAGTGTTTGCTAATTCAGTGTGTGTGGTAACTTCATATGATAACTACTGCATATAATAAGAATTGACTATATCTGCTTGTTTTAGATGGTGAGTCCTCACTGTTGTACAGCAAAGTAGACTGTAGATATTCAAGTCTGTCTGTACATGTTTGACATTTAGCAAATATTAAATATCTTTTGATGAATGATATTCCAGGAAGCAAGTTACCTACTATCATGAAAAAAGCATTTAAGAGCCGGAGTTGGAAACAGTTTCACAGGCACAGACTCTAATCTAGTAGGACTACCATTCACGCTCAGAGAGGTTTTGTTAGAACTTCTTTTGTAGCCATTTTCAGTATCCTACAGTCTTTATGAGTAATTACTTTTATAAGTTATTTTAAAATCTTTTATAGAGCTGTTGCATAACTGTGTGTTCAAAGAGGAAAACAGCAACTGAAAATAAGCAAATAAAAATCTTGCCGGGCTCGGTGGCTCAGCCTGTAATCCCGCGCCTTTGGGAGGCTGAGGTGAGTGGATTGC